AACCTTCCGCGGATTGCGTTACGCTGGGATCACCTGGGTTTTTCTTCCAGCGCAACCTGAGAGCAACGTTCGGAGAGTGCATGGCAAGTCTGGACGCTATGCAGAAAAACCCTCCGAGCAATTCGACCTCCCGTCGCTTCCAGTTTTCTTCCTTATAATGCCCGCCACGCTTTGCAAGGGTCAGTTGACAACAGCTCGAAGAAAGGGCTAGACGCAGGTATCTAGAGTCGAGGCATCTCGTTCGTCCACGACCTAAGCTCACTCCGACTCTACCAAAAAATCTAATCAAAGTATTGCAACCACGAGAATCGTCGCGATCAGACCGCATAGTGTGGTCAGCACATGCGTCCAGGAAGTCTCGATCTTGACGCCTCCACTGCAGGTTCCCGTGATCGCATCGCAGTCGGGTAAGGCCGTGACCAGGATGTCGACGGTGCGAGTGACGTGCTTGGTGCGTACCACGGTCTTTACGGCTTTCCCCAGTGGTGTGCTTGTGACGGTGCTTGATTCGGTGGTCGTGATGGTGGCTGTCGAGCTCGTCGTGTAAGTGGAGCTGAACTCGGAACCCGAGCTCGTGACCGACATTAAACTGCTGGCGGGGACCGAGCTCGAGGAGGTGGTCGAGGACATGGTGCTTGTGATGGTGGTGAAGGCACCGGTATACGGACCGCAGATGCGGGAGGTCGTGTTGAGAGTGCACGAATTCGGTAACCCGTATGAAATTGGGTCCGATGTCAGCGTCGTGCACGCTGAATTCGAATAGAAGCGGCTGCTGAAGTACGAACTAGACCGGACGTCGCTGATCAGACATCGTTTCGCTTGCTTCAGTTCCGCAGATGGAGATAATACTTACCTGCTCAAAGCCGAGCATGTCTCAGTGAACCACTTAGCCTCGGTACCGTACTGCAGACACGTCTGCGGCACAGCGGAGACCACGCCGCCCGTACAAGGTGACGCGGCATAGATGAGCGCGGTGACCGGAACGGTTGCTCGGACGAGCTGTATCGTCCCGAGAAGGCCGAGCAGAAAACGGGACAGATCGTGGTGCAGAGATTGGCGCATGCTTGTGAGACTCGACCTGGCAATGGACAAGGCCGATTCGGGTTATGAGGATGGGTTGCCTCTATGACGGATCTGCCGAGGCTTCCGTTTGTCCGGATGATTCTTGCGGGCTTGCCGGCGGACTTTTCGCTTGCCAATCCCGCTTTTTGGACAGCGCTGGTCCGGAAGTAGATCAAGCGGAGTGAAGACGCAATGGACGCTGGGATGCAAGCCTCGAGCTAATAAATGTTAGTTGGAGAGCTTACCAAGGTTCTGCTGCGAGAGAAAGGCATGCGGCAGGCAGGTAGTCAGCCAGCCAGCCATGCGACCAACGCCGGAATGGTGCAAGAGCAGGAGCACAGAACGTAAGAGCAGAGAGTTTCCACACCGTTCAAGGTGATGAAAAGACCCGCCCAGACTCGTTAAGTTGAATCGCCAAGTCACGCTGACGACTATCATGTCTGAAACGTCTGTTCGTTTCCAGCGCGAAAGAACAAAGAACGGAGAAGAAAGTAATGGCGGCTGTGGGAGATCGTGGCAATTTCAATCAATACGAGAGAAAGAAGAGGCAGAAAATCATAGGTTTCCTTCGGACTATTCCTTGCCTAACTTGGGATTCGACATCGAATGTTACGAACCTTTGTACTAAAGGAGTGCGGAGATGCAACAATTAGCCGTGCGACATTACGATGACCGTGACTTCAGCTTACTTGCTGAGAACGGCGTGTAATGACCCACGTCCGGTTCTTTGTTGATGAGGGAGTCCAGCTGTGTGGAAAGGCGTGAGCGCATTGCTGAGGTCTGTCGAAGTGTGCGGGCGAAGGACACCCCCCCGCACCTTCTCTCGTAGCTCTTGTCGTTGAAATCGTAGATGACATCGCTTGCTACAATGTCCTCTTCTCGCACCAGGATCTCCTGCTGCGACCACGCTGTACGTTTCACCCAGTCGATGGGTAGCACGCATCCCGTGACCACCAGGCGAAGCAAAATTCCCTCCACTGCAAAATCTCTGGCTGTTTCGATGCTGAGACTCGTCGAGTAGACGGACCCGGGGCATTTGACAAAGTCGACTTTCCCGGTCAGGTGACACGGATCGGCTTGGCTGCATCCTCGATACACTTCCAGCCCTCCAACAAAGACAGCTTTACCCTCGGATATCATTTTTCGCAGGCGTTCCCGATTTGTCGGAGAATGCTTCCATGCGCCAAGATGATCGTGATCATGGTCGTCGAAGAGAGATGCAGCGCCGGAGAAAATAGTGTCCAGTTGTGACTTGGATACGTAGCGCATCGGTGGAAAGCTCCCAAGATGTGCCACAATGCAATGTGGAAGGGTCGAGCGGATATGCCTTCGTTGGGAGCTTTGCCGAGTGCAAAAGTCTCGGAGAATGTGGACAGCAAGACGATGAAAAAATATCTCAGAGACGCACAACGAACAGCAACAGCATCCAGTGTCTGAGAGACATCCTGTCTGCTGGCGAACGGCACTTCTTGACGGGGCTTGTCGTCGGCCTCCCAGCCCCTTTAGCCGTCCCCGGCAGATCCGCTTTCGACAGGCTACGCTTGAGTTTCCTGGACCGGGTGCCTCGTGGTAATCACGGTGCAGAGAGTTTGCTGTAGAGACAGGAGCAGTCCAAGTACTGCGAGAACGTTCAGCTTGCGGACCTAATTCCAGAAGACGACGCTTTGTACGATGCATGAGGCCAGGAGCACATGGTGGTGAAGCATTGCGCAGTGGTTTGGTGGGTGTCCGAAAGGCTCGGACTCTTGCCTCATCGATCGATGCCCGCGCAGCCAAACGACTCTCTCCCGATCACATCACCCATCGTCTCCACCTGAACAACAACCCCGTCCTTCGCCACCAACCGACCTGCTGCCAAACCTCGCAACCGACCGCTCCTTTACCTCCGTTACGGGTCATGCTCCATCTTGCACACTGCCGCACCACCCACGAGCCTCGTCGCCCGCACCATCTGTGCTCCTCCTCCGTTCGTTCAGCCAGCTCACAGCCGAAGTATCAGCGCTTTCAGGATCGCTAGAGAGGCTGACATTCCCAGATGCGAAGTGCCTGTTCAAGGCACCGACGCTGGACGGAAGAGGACCTCCAGGAACTGCAGGATCTCCGTTCCCAGAGAATGACGCACGCTGTCCTGGCAACGCGCTTCGGGGTCAACCCATCAGCCGTGACCACGCGCTTGGTTCGACATCGGTGGAACCACGGATCGCGGCTCTGGACCGATGCCGAAGTGCAGGAACTCAAAAGACTGATGGACGAACAAACGGCAAGATCTCCTTCACTTCCATCGGCCGACTTCTGCAGCACTCAGTAAGCTCTTGCCAGAATAAGGGGTTGGCGATTCAGGCGATCAAGCCCGGCAAGTGGTCGGCGGACGAAAACTTGCAGCTGAAAGAACAAGTCCATCGGCAGCTCCAGGCTTCTGAGACAGTCAAATGGACGGACATTGCGAGGCAGCTTGGACGCAGTCCTGATGTCGTCCCGCTTAAACTGGCGTTCCGCCTTAGACCCGACTTTGAGGACCGGACGCTGTTCACCGCGGAGGAGGATCAGGAGATTCGATGCAGCAATGAACCTCTAATGGTTCTCGCGCGAAGATATTGAATCGCAAGTATCCGAGCGTGAGTGCTCGTCGCAAACGTGTTCTGTCTGAATCTCAAACGACGTCTAAGTTCCCTGTGTCCCCACCGAAACCATCCAGGCAGTCGTTCGGCAATCCACATGGAGTCGGCTCAACTCGCAGCATCAGCACGTTGTCTCCACCCTCCGGCGTCCTTGACACCAGCTCTCCTCGGCTCCCGACTTTCCGGCCATTTCCGTTCGAGCCATCGATGCCTGCGGATAGCACTGCGCTCCTCGATCTACGCTCTTGCGGACATTCATACAAAGACCTGGCAGCACCTTCGAGGTTGCCGTATCTTCAGTGCGTCACCAGTTGCGGTCTCTTATGAAGAACAGCTGTAGAGCTAGACCGTGGAGCAACGAGAGGCACAGTCGCTACAGCGGCAAGTGGAAAAACGAGCATGCCCGCTCTTCCGGAAAATTCTCCTGGACCTGGATCGGTCAAGCCCTTGACCATTACGGAATGACCTGTCGTCACAAGTGGGACACCTTAACTTGCCCCAGGACCGGACCGTGGTCCGAATCCGATGACCGGTTGCTCGGTCAGCTGGTCCGAAAGAAGCTCCCATCGTCGGGCACATTAACCTGGTCATCAATTGCTTTAGTGCTGGGTGGGCCTCAGAAAAATGATATCTTCCGCGTGCGTCTTCTCGATCCGAAGCTGAGACGACGCAGATTTACTGCGCAATAGGATCATGCGATTCGAACCAGTGATAAACCTCTTATGCTTCTGTCGAGGAGGCCTCGTCGCAAACGTCTGGCCGTCAAAGCAAAGCGGGATTCAAGCGATTGCGTTATCTATCAGGGATCATGTACATTACCACCCTTCTTGGCCGTCGAAAGGCGCATCGCATGAGCAGCGATTGAATGGCAGCTTCGCAGCACGAAGGGTTACGCCGAAAGCGCTCAAGCGCCGGGTCAGCTGAGCTCAGAAACATGAAATGGTCCCCACATGTCTCCCAGCGTTCCTTTTGCGGTCTCACGGCACTGCTCAGTAGCCGGCGGAGGGGCCAGACGGCCGCCACCTGCCATCCGCGGTCATTGTGCGGAACCCCGGCGGAGCGCTCTTCGGGGCTCAGCTGGGGCCAGACGGCCGCCACCTGCCGTCTCACGCTGAATCCATTGCGCAGCAAACGTGGCTTGATCATTACGCAGCACCTGGCGGAGCGCTTCTATACAGGCTCAGCTGAGGCCAGACGGCCGCCATCTGCGGTCTCACCGTTGTCTCCCTCTTGGGCATCTGTGCGCAGCAAACGTGGCTTGGTCGTTGCGCAGCACGCGGCCGCTTGATGATAGGGGCTCAGCAAGCAGGGCTTCAACATGAATCAGTAGTATAGTGGTTAATATACTCGCCTTCCAAGCGAGTGTCCCGAGTTCGAATCTCGGCTGATTCACTTTTGCTGGATCCTTTTATAGGATTGGCGGATTGATTTATGCGTTGCTTGCTCCAAGGGGTCCCTGGATCAACCATGCTCTTCGTTGTCTACAGAGGTCTCCCGTCTTCCTTTCTGATAAGACAATCATTTGGCGTCTTTAAAGGGTCTGACATAGGCAGCAATTTGGCGTCTTAAATTGCAATTGCGTCTTTGAGGGTCTGTGATAAGCCGCAATTTGGCGTCTTAAATTGCGATCTCAGCTTATTGCATACCTGTAAGCATGCCACATTGCAATTGAAGACGCCAAATTGCATACCCCTGCGAACCCCTGAAGACGCCAAATTGCGGCTTACCGCATAGCCCTGAAGACGCCAAATTGCGGCCTATTGCATACTCGTAAATAAGCCATATTGCAATTATAGATGCCAAATTGCACACCTTTGCGAACCCCTGAAGACGCCAATTGCGGCTTATTAAGACCTCAAATTGCATACTTCTGCGTACTGCTGAAGACGCTTAATTGCAATCTTAGACGATAAATTGCGGCTTATTGCATATCTCGAAAGACGCTAGATTACAATTCAAAATGCCAAAGTCATATGCTGCAAACCCCTGAAGACGCCAAATTGCAATCTTAGACGCTAAATTGCGGCTTATCGAATACCCTTGAAGACGCTAAACTGCAATTTAAGACACTCAATTGCAATTGCTGCAATTTAGCGTCTGAATTTGCAATTTCGCGTTTTGAGGGATATGCCAGCAACCGCAATTTAGCGTCGTTGTTTCGAATTTGGTGTCTTAAAGATTGACGCAATAAATCAATCCGCCAATCCAATAAAAACATCAAGCAAAAGTGAATCAGCCGAGATTCGAACTCGGGACACTCGCTTGGAAGGCGAGTATATTAACCACTATACTACTGATTCATGGACAAGCCTCGTTTGCTTTGCTCTGTTTCTCGCAACGCCGTGTGCTGCGCAACGACCAAGCCACGTTTGCTGCGCACGGATGCCCAAGAGGGAGACGATGAGACCGCAGGTGGCAGCCGTCTGGCCCCAGCTGAGCCCCTATGAGAGCTGCGCAATGACCAAGCCACGTTTGCTGGCCAATGGATTACCAAGAGTGAGACGGCAGGCGGCGGCCGTCTGGCCTCAGCTGAGCCCCAATGAGCGCTCCGTCGGGTGCTGCGCAATGACCGCGGATGCCCAAGAGAGAGACGACGGTGAGTTCGCAGATGGCGGGCGTCTGGCCTCAGCTGAGCCCCTATAGGAGCGCTCCGCCAGGTGCTGCCCAATTATCAAGCCACGTTTGCTGCGCCACGGACGGCCAAGGGTGAGACCGCAGCTGAGCTCGGCTGCTGCGCATTTTCAAAGCAAGCCACGTTTGTTGGACACTTATGACCCAAGCCGAATTGCGTACGCATGATCCATACCTTGGATTGGAGCAGAGTGATAATTTCATATTATTTACAACGGGAGTTTCTCTGCACCTCTCCCTTTCTGTCCGCATCAGGGTTTCCCGTCCCTCCTAGGTCTCATGTCACCGACCCACCTCTCCTCCCCGTCAAACACCCTATCGCCCTTCCTCCTCCTTCTACTGTCCCCGCGGCTCTCGTCACCGTCACCGTCCCCATCACCAGTCCCATCGCCCCGTCCACTACCGTGAGAGCCGTCCGTATCGCTCTCCGAACTATCGCTCTCGCTGGACGAACCGCTGCTGCTGCTGCTGCTGCTGGAACTGGAACTGTTGTCGTCGGCCGCCACCAGCCTCAGCGCCGTCTCGGCGAGGGCTTTTCGGACCCGGATCTGCATCATGCCGCGTCGCCACGCTTTCCTTCCTCCTCCGCCTGCTGCTCCTCCTCCATCTCCACCTCCCAAGCTCCCGAACCCGCCGCCACCGGACCCGCTCGCGAGGGCGATGCTGGCCGTCGTGTTCTTCCGTGTGGGCGGTGTGACGCCGATGACGGAAGGAGACGATGGTGGGAGTCGGGGCGGGAGAGCGGGGGAGTTCGGTTTCGAGATGACGACTTCGGGGACGCTCGGATTTCGTCTGGGTCGTTGTTGCTGCTCGGTGGTGGTGGTGGTGGTGGAGGTGGTGGCAGTGGTGG